AATATGTCCTTTAAAATATCTGTACACTGTTTTCACATACAGTACAAGTCATAGAAGTGACAGATTTTGTTTCCTGGTGGAAATGGTATTTGCAGGTCTGAAGAGATTATGCTTTTAGAGTAATTTATAGTGTGAGCAAAAACATCTATAGAGTAAAAGAAACAGCAGGCTGCATTAGGCTAAGTGGCAATTACTGCAGGAATAAATCTAGTGCACGACGTTTGAATTCACACAAATTAAATCGTATGAATTATTTGGGCGTAGTTTATTTATGCTGTGAAATTATAGCGAGATCAATTTGCGTTTCTATCATTCAGACAGATTAACTACTCTTCTAAAAATTAAAAAAATCTGTATTTAAATAGCCATGCAATTTCTAGCTTTTTGGCCATAAAATGTATTTCTAGCCAGGTCTATTGAAGCCATCTCTGAGATTTTCTTTTGTACAATCAATACAATTTCACTTCTGTGTGGCATCTCATGAATAAACACATGAAACAGATGCACTTCACTGACAGCCACTGAATAGGTATCAGAACAAGAGTTACAACGATTGTAATCAAGCTGAGATGATCCGCTGTCAATCAGTAAGGGCAAAGGCTCAAGTGGTTCAGTAACCTTGCCTGAACCCTAAGGTTGGGTTAGTCTTTAACTCAACTTCCTTTAGTCCAGCCCTTCAAAAAAATTTATAAAGAGGATTGTAACTAATATGATACTTTGGAATGAGGAAACACAGCTATCAAAATTGTACAATTTGAATGCAAACAGCTGTCAGCCATTCTGTCACCCATGCTAAACTCTTCAGAAAAAAATACACGAATAATTGAAGCAAATGCTACATGTCCATGCATTATGCAGACAACTACATCCTGGTCTCCACCAAAGCAGAAACAAATCTCGGGGATGAGCACATTGGCAGGTTATTGCTTTATAGCACAAAAGGGACTGTTTGGCTATGCAGTTTAGAATCATAGAAATTTATTGCACCAGACCTATTTAATAATACATTCTCTTCCCTCCAATGGTCACCATAGCCTCTTTTAGTATTCAGAATTGCTGTTTAAATTTTACTGATATAAAATTAGTTCTTCTGTAATCAAAACTGTGGATTAATTCCGTGGATCAATTTGGCTCATTTGTCAAAATTCATCTTTTGTGCATTAAAACTGAAGCAACACATCAGCTGTACACCGTAAAAGCCCTCAGTGGGTGATTAGGTTCCTTTTGGGAATGTGGATCAGTTAGGAAACTGATCGGGACTTGAAGATAATATTTTTCTTTTTTTTAAAAAAAGTTACAATACTACAAACTCTGCCAAATTGTCCACAGAAGGAAAACTGGATTACAATCATTCTGGAGCATTGCTATCTATGCCTCAATGTTAAAAACGTACACATTTTACATTAATTTAGCCCCCAAAGCAGAACCCTGAACCATCTTGAAAAGGAAATCAATTGACATTGCTGCAGCATGAATACATACGGTGCAAATCAATTCATGTGTTGTAATTAAAAATTGATAGTCACAATTCCAGGTCTTTAACATTATGAAGAAGCTAACCAGTGTTTGGGACCAGACAGTACCGCTCAGGGTGTTCCTGGTTGAGCAGGCTCAGGCCTCAAGAGAGTGCAATTTTGGAGCAAAAACTAAAATCCTGTTTCCTACTTGGAATCAATTTTAAATTCACTTCCAGCAACATAGATACAGATAATCTACACACAGCATCTTAATTACTTTCAAGCTGACCTTTCATTGAAAAGAATACACAGTTGGATGCTATTGTCGGGGTTATAAAATGTGACTTCTCACATTGCAACAGACAGATGCACTTTAAGGCTCAACTGTCTGAGCTGGCTTGAAATCAGCCAGGTTTCCTTCAAAAAAAACTTTACAACCTGGTGCTAATTGCTGCTTCCCTATTCTGAGACTTTACACTCTTATGTATAACAAAAAAGATGGTGAAAGGCTGAAAATACTGCAGTATGTGGCACCCATGAAATCCAGCAGAGTCAGAAGGGTGGTCAGGCTGTTCAAACAGATGACGCCTGCAGTCAATTCATTCAAATTCATCACCTTAGTGACATAGAACTATTAAACTTTTATTTGTGGGAATTAGCCACATGAGCTTCTCTAGCTTCGTATTTAAACATTTGGAAAATATATTAACTTCCTGTTATACTCATGGTTTATAATTTATAAGCAAAATGATATATTGTAGGGAAAATGTAGTATCTAGGTAAATCAATTTTAGCGTTATCATTTTAAAAACTATTGATACACATTATAGTTTGTAGATGAATATTAATTCTTGATAGTAAAATTTGAGATTTCAAACCAGTTTAGAACCACGCATCTTGAATTAAAATTACTCTGCATTAACTTGTCCAGCGCTTTGGGACGTCCTCCTGACGTGAAAGGCACTACATAGATGCAATTTGCTATTACTGTTGTTGTCCAATGAGGACTGCTTTACTAGTTCCAGCTTTGGCTTGCAGAATTAACAAAAGCCCCATAGGAAGAATCCTTGCCAGAATGTGCTGTCTATAGCAAGGTATACAGTTTTAGCTGGTTGAACTTCAGCAGTACCTCCACACACACTCTGGGTCCCAAAGCATTTGCTCTTGCCAACCTGCTCCAAATATTCTGTGGAATTAGATACCATGGTGTATCCTTCCTGGGAGGGTGCCCATTCCATTCCAGCCACAGGGATATTTACATGTGTAGATGGCATACATGTCGAACGCCATCCGATTTGGATACCTTTTAGCAAGGTAAAATGGTCTTCGGTATGGGTCAGACACCCAGCTGATCAAAAAAGGTCACTAGTTGACAATTCCTACAGTAGCAGAGATATACTGAACTTCTGAAAGTCTCCAAGCTCTTCATTATTCTATGCAATACTGCATTTCTTTCAGCAGCACCCACCTCGTCCTCTAGGTTTTGTCCTAGCAGAATTAGCATTTATATTTGATTTGTACAGAAGTGAACTTAAGAGTTACTGCAGCAGCCATCACACATTTAGTTTTAACACCATCACCAACATATAGTTCGGCATATTGTGGAATTAAAATTATGAAAAATTCTTCCCTCCATTGATTTTTGTTAAACTTTTAGGAAATTTTAAACTTTGTTTGGGAGCATTGGGAAGGTAGCATTGCTAAGTAGGAGTTGCACCAATTCAGGATTTTCTGAACACTCTCAACACGTCTACAATGATAAGAGTTCTTTGCAGGATGTAGGTAAACACAATCCAATTGAGTTGCAATCAGTCACGGCAGGCATAACTTGCCTGGATTTATACTGAATGACGAATACTGTAATTTGTTTAGGTGGAGTGGGTTCTAAAGAAGATAGGAGATTTTATTTAAATTCACTCCATCAGCTAAATTCTGATTCACACTTGATGCAGAAGACAAGGATGGCATTTTTAATTGAACTTCATCCAAATTTCCCTCCTCTGCACTCAACATGTACTCAGAAAATCTTCCACTTTACATTTAGTGATCACATCGCATCCTCTCAGAGCTGGTAAGTTTAGTTTTTAAAACCAATGTTCAAAACAATACGAGTTTACATTCATACAGCACCTTTCAGGTCCAGAGAACGTCCCAGAGCGTTTCACATCCTGCCTGGGTACCTAACCTCACAGTCGGAGCTGAGGAGCATGGGAAGAGGAAAGATGACAAAACCACAGTCAAAGAGGTAGGTCTTGAGACCGACCTTGAACGAGCTAAGGATGGGAAAGAGAATGTTGGCCAGAACACCAGGAGAAACTCTTTTTTTTCCCCAAGTAGTGCCATGGGATTTTTAATGTCAACCTGAACAGGCAGACAGGACCTCAGTTTAAGTCTCATCCAAAGGACAGCACCTTCAACAAAGCAACATATCCCCAGCACTAAAGTATCCCACAACCTTCTGACTCAGAGGTGAGATTGATTTCCACTGAGCCAGACTCAGATTGTCAAACTAGACCATTTCTTACTGGTTAAAAAATATCAATTGAATCAGGCGAGGCAACACAGTGCTCCCAGTTCACGCTGACCTACAAGTGGCTTGTGCTATAATAAAGCATGTATTCAGCTCTATTTGTACATTCAGTAAGACACAAATGCACTATTTTTCCATTCAATGAAAAGTATTAATTTTCGCATGAGGCACTTTGGTTTATTGCACCCAAGGAAAGTGTTTCTGGCCTTCGGATGTTCCAGTGCATTATATTCATTATTTCGATCAAGTTTTTCCCATCTTCAATGCCTTCCAATTTCAATGGCTAGCAAAAGTTCCATAAATTTACTACAGAAACACATTGACAAGATCAGATCTACATTTTCTACTGTCCCACTAATGTAGCCTAATTACTGCTGTCCATTGCATCATTAAATCAATGTTCTATGTTAATTTCATTGACAGTCTCAAGGGAATACTTCAATCCCGTGCTCAAGTAATAAATTCATCCTGTACAGCAATTTTCTTCCCTTAGATTGGCCTGCACTGTATTGGACGTAACTGATGTTCTCCCAGAATCATAAAAACAGCTTTCTGCTTCAGGTATTAATTACCTTTTTTTAAGATGCACTTTAAAAGTAGATTGCGACTATTTTTGTCATATTTCTTACAATACGTTGGTCTTGAAAAGGTTAGTATGAGCAATCTATCAGAATGGGGCCATTTGGAATTCCATAAGCAAACAGTTCTCCAACCAGCAATATGGTCACCAGTCATTTAATAGAAGGTAGCTGCAATTTCCTTAAATTCCACACTCCACCAGGTCCTTAGTCAAGGGTGTTAGTTTGTGTTCATCTTCATTAATAAGCAGGTGGTGGACAAATTAACAACTTGTTCATAAAATTGCACCGAGAAGTTTGTCTGAACTCTTTTCTATTAGTCAGAAGACACATTTTCAGATTGCAGCTAAAATATTGATCATGAATATTTCAATTCAATTCAAGGAAGTAGGATCATGACATTACCAAAACGCACGTGAGAGATTGCATCCATACCTGATTAAAACGATCTCCCTGTGAATCGTTGACTTCTCCATTACTGGTCACTGGAATTTCAGCTGCAGAATTTCTGGCCGAACCTTCTGCCATTTCGGATTCCTTTGAAAAGAATCAAAAAAAAGAAACAACGCTCAGCATTTAATGATAGCAACCACTTTATAGCAATTCTGTATTACAACAACTTGCATTTATATAGCTCTTTTCAGAGTAACGCCCCAGAGAGTTTCATAGAGACGGTGCCAGATCTCTTCTCTCTCTCTCCCCAATCCCGCCACCACCAAGCAGGGAGGGATGGAGGGGGAGGTAACCTTAGAACTATTGAAGAGATACAATTTTAAGCAGCTTTCGAGCACAGATAGATGGATAGTAGCTGTAAGATAGTGGCATGAGATAGGAATGGAGGCAACACATTTGGTGAAAAAATAGAAATGCAATCTCGGTCAGGGACGAGATGTGTCTGACTGCGAGAGAAATATGAAAGAGAGCTGAGGGTACACAATGGTTCAATGAGTTGGGGGTAGAGGGGGTGGGGGGGGAGAGGAGAAATCAGAGGCAGGATTTTGGGTAGGCAGTCAGAACATCAGTGGACCTGGAATCAAGGGTGGAAGTAGAGACGTAGATTGAATATCATGAATGAATCAAAAACATTTGTAAGATTACCTGTACTTAAGGTTTTTGTCCACAAATGGCCTGCCTCCAGGTTCATCTATACTAATAAAGGCGAAATGTCTGTGTGTGTGTCTGCCAATAATGCATAGGAAAGAGAGTGTCATGTGCATATTTTTTTCAAGGAGCTCCCATCATTGAGCTATATTTAAAACATGCTGAAGCATGCATGATATTCTGCAACAAAGTAGCGACAGAGGAAATCAAGCCCCAAAATATGAAGCATGTATGACATTCTGCAACAAAGTAGCGACAGAGAAAATCAGACACCCTTCTAGAGAGTTACATCTATACTAATATATTCTGCAACAAAGTAGCGATAGATCTACTATAACTATAACTTGGTAGTTTAGTAGTTTTAAGGAAGACATCCACCAACATTTTCTGGGTGAGTGCAATGACAAGCTGAATAATTCCTAACACAAAAGGCCATCACTTGCATACACTAGAAGTTGCCAATAAGTGCCAATCTCCGTTTGGAGTCAATTGATCGATGGATATCTATATGGACATTCAGAAGTCATTTAATAATTTCCCAAACACAAAGTGATAAGCTAAGGATAACGGACATGATATTGGGGCACATTTTAGCGTGAAAAATTGGTTGGAAGAAAACATGGGACAAAGGAGAGATTTTCCAAAAGGTAGGCAAGAGAAAAGTTGGGGATTGTTACTGGCACACCAGGTTTTAAGTTACACAGACATGAATGTGGGAATAGGGGGTGGATTGAACAATGAAAAGCAGAAACTTCAAAGTGATACGGGCATATTGACTGGGAGGAACAATAGTGAATAAAGTTCAACATTGCAAAATAGGAAATATTTTAAAATTAAGAAAGGCCAATGAAAAACCAAATGGAGAAGTTTAAGAGGATGCAGACAAACAAAGAATGTCAGCATGCAGAAACACAATTCATTCAGGGTTAGTTTGCATGTGCAGAAAGCAAAAGAAAAAGGCTAATGTGATGCTGAGGTTTTTGATAAAAAGGTATAAACACAAAAAGAAGGAAGTATTACTTCAATTATACAGGGTATTAGATCAGACATTATTTTAACTACTATGATAATTCACCAAGATACTTGCAATGTCATGATTTAGCTATGAACTTGATTCTTTGGAGCTGAAGAGGTTGAAGGTTAATTGGATTGAGGCATTAAAGGAAAATGACAAGGTTTATTTCACTTTTGTGAAAGACCATAATAAACTTGCTCATGATTGATCAGGTCTTCCTCAGCCAACTGTTATCCCACATTTAGGACCATCCACCCAGCATTCAGTCCACATTGTCTGAGTTCAGTGCAGAGGTGCACAAGGACAATTCTCCAGACGGCTTACTCTACTTTCCCTCCCTCCTGAGAGGAATCTCGTGCCCTCTTTCAACCCTATTCCCACGGCGTTTTGATCACCAAGGGAACTGAAAGAACAACTGTTACTTGCATTTATATTGCACCTTTCATTTAAAAGGCCATCTCAAACAGCTTGACAAATCGCAGTTGTGGACATCAACACGGGTGGGGGGGAAGGGATGAGATTTAGAATGTTAAAATGATCAACAAGAGGGTCAAAGAAAAGTATTTAAAGAGGTTTTAGAATTCATAGAAAGAAGCAAAATGGTTTTGGAAAAGAGTCCAGAGGATGCAGCAAACTGTCCTGTACTGAAATCCAGAATTGTTTCAAACAATACATATATTGGATTGAAGAGGACAAAGGCAGCACATGGGTAAGAAGAAAAAAAAAGAATAATAAAAATAATCCTTGATATTGCACCTTATCACAGTATTGAGATGTCTCAAAGAACTTTGAGAAGCACAAATTATTTTTGGAGAGGTAGGAACATAACTCCAGAACCATGGTACCACAGAGGTGACCAAGCAGGAAAGGCAATGGAGGAGAATGGAGTTAAAGCCAAGAGAGAGGTTAAGAAAAATGCAGAGGGACAGTGAATCCTGATTGCAGTTGATCAGAATTTCATTGGTGGCTTTGTATTTTAGGTCAACTTGTCTAAACCACGATTGGAAGCTCTTGAACAGGGAATAATGTGGACAGTTGGGTGGCAAACACACATTCAGTACCTTAACAAGAAAGGTGATACTTGATTAGGACAGGAGCAGAGAGATTAAGGTTGGGCTGTCAGAAAGGGAAGCAAGATGATGTCAAGAGGATGATGAGGGAAGCAACTGTGTGAATTCCCTCTATTTTCAACACAATGTCCACAAGCTCGCTGCATTTTAAATCAAAAGCAAAGATGATGAAAGATTAGATCAAAGGCAGTGGAGCTGTTTGCAGGCATTTTTGCCCTCCAGTATGAGCCTGAAGCATTACAATTTGGCCAATGAGGTCAAACCACATTGAACGATGGACAGCTCGGCATCATGCACTCTAAGAAACAATCGGTTTCCCACCATCCCTGCGGCAAATACTAAAAGTGATCACATGGAAATTTCCAAGATATTTATTGAAATGGAATGTGCATTATTTCCCTGGAGGGGAATCGTCCTGCTTACCTAATTCTGAAGAATATTAGGTGCAGGATGGCAAGAGCCAAGGCTTGGGTTAAAAGTGTGAATTGGGCCACTGCTGGGGTCTAACCAGCTAAAACCTCATAGCTTGCCAATGACATCACCGCCTGGCAAGCTTTCCCACTGCTTGTCCAGCTAGGACTACACTGCCCAACAAAATATACATTTAATCCATTATATCAAATGCAAGGATGATTATTATTAGGGCTTCGGCTTGTAGGTTTATCGAAAGATTTCAAGTGAAGAGAACATAAATTGAAACATAAAGTAAAATGTTCATTTACTAAATAACATTTACTCAAAATCATTCAGAACCAAAGGCTAATAAAGCTTTCACACAAGATTAGGACACAATAACTGCACTTTTGCTGCTCAAAATTCTGTTTGCAAAAGAGGTGGGGTAAAGCCGTCAGTCTTAAGAACTAGTAGTTAAAAAAATCCAGATTCTTACTGGTGCATGATGAAAGGTTAAACAGAAGGGATTGGTAACTTGATGGTACAACAAAACACAAACGTACAAAGCCATCACCGGTAAACAACCTTTCACCCAAGTCAATTGCAACTGTGCAAACATCATGAAATTTAAGGTCATTTAAAGTTCTACCATTACTTCCTACCAGTTACATTTGGTAAATCTTTTAAGATAAAACAGTCAGATAATTACTTTTAATTGACAAGTGTTAAAAAGCCTGATTTTTCTGAAGTAATGAATCACTATAAGAGCTACAATGTTCTCACACATTAAAGTTTGTGGAAGTTTTATCCCATCATTTTTCATCATTTCACAGAGGCACCATATTTACATAACTATACATTATGGATTTAAATCTTTCCTTAAAGTAAAACCCCTCTAGTGGATACCCAGACACTGATTATGACCAACAATAAATTAGCACTGTGTTGGTTTTTTAAAAATTATAGCAAAAAATTAATGCAGGTTAAGGAAAATAAAACCAAGACACCACTGGGTAAGAAGCGGGATCTTTTACTATTTTATATTCTACTTTGTATTTAATCTAATTGCAGTTTATTAGTATGATGTCACTGTTAAATTTCACATCTTAGATAACCCCACCAATTAATGCTTTGACTTGCAGGGTCAAGAACATGGCTAGATCTTCAAGTTTCATTGAAGATTTTGCCTACAAAAAACCATTCACCGTGCTTGACGGTACCTGTTTTATATGATGAAGCACTATCAAAATTCACCCATTTTTCTTTTACTATGTATTTCCATGTACTAGCCATCAACAGCTGCCACATACCTATGGACATGCACGGTTTTGCCTTCTTAGGGTCAGTTCAAATTTGGATTAGCAATGCGACGAAGGTGAATAACAGCAGTCTTGCTCAGGGACCGAATGGGAGGAAGGAAAGAGAGCTGAAGATCAAACCACACGTCAATATTACTCACTAGTTTGGTGAGTTAGAGAGAGAGGAAAAAATAGAAAGGTGGAGATCAGAGCCGAAAGTGAGAAGACATTGGAGGGAGATGAGGAGGATGGTTTCAATCCTAACCATGCTGTCCTGTCAGAAATTGAGGCTTATCCCAGCCTTCATGTCTGACAGGGAGTTGGACAGAATATCAGTGGGCCTGGAATCAAGAGTAGAAGTGGAAATGTTGATTTGGGTGTCATCTGCATATATGTGCAAGTCGTTCAATAAAGGTTTGCATCGATTATTGGACCCCAAGCCTGCATTTGACAAACAGACACAACTTTCAGGAATATGAAAGACAATTCTTCAGTAGTCTTACCACCAGAAGGTATTTGGAATGTCCGTTGCAGATATAAAATCTTGTTCTTTTATTGCTTACTGGATTACTGTGGCAAAACTATTGTGCTTGTAAATATAATAAATGTTCAGCACAGCCTCATTATAATGGAGTGTTTGGTATAACTTGGGTTGGGATTATATGGATCCCAAAGTGTGATAATGGGCTTTACTGTATATGTGCACATCTGGCCAGCACGCAGGAAGTGCCTGAGCAGCTTCCCATGCTTCAAAGAAAAAATGGGCAACTTCCAGGTCAGCAGGTCACTGCAACGTCACTTTGTTTTCTGCGCTTGTGAAAAGAGGGAAATGACTTCATCTGCAACCAAGTGATCCCGAAGTCTTGATGAATTTTAGTGCAGAAAGCCAGCAGGCATGCAGGAAACCAGCATTCACGCAATGAATGGTGCTCACAGTGTAACTTCAAGCAAATTTGTGCTATAGTGAAATGCATTAGATTCAAAATCACTCGTATTTGCACATATCTGCTTGTACAGCACATTGCTATTATTATTATTATTATTGCAGCGCGTTGTAAACAACAGATGATGTAATGAGTTGTCAACAAAAACTAGTTCCCGAATCTCGTGAGGGTTTTCAGATTACAAACAACTGATGCATGATGCAAAGATAAAATTGCATCAGTGGAAGCTGATTCAATAACAGCTTTCAAGAGAGAAGTAGATAATTATTTGGGGAGGAGAAGTTTGCAGGGCTATGTGGAGAGAGCAGGGGAGTGGGATTGATTTGGATAGCTCTTTTCAAAGAGCAGGCATAGATACGATGGGCTGAATGGCCTCCTTCTGTGCTGTATGATTCTATGGTCCAATCTAACCTGTTACAGTGGATGCAAAAGTCCATGAGGCAGTCAGGAAATATCCAGCTATCAATGCACATGGAAATTCACTAGTTCCTCTCCAAGGCAGACAAATCATAAATATCTGCATAAAATCACAACTGTGTGCACCACATGTTTCAGTAAATTAAAAGCAAGTGGTCATTTTGACAGGATTGAAGCTGAAAAATTTTATCCTAAGGAATTGATCTCTCTATATCTAAAGTCTACTGTATTTAAAACACAATACTTGTTAGTTTCACAATGTTTTGGAAGTGAACTTGAAAAGCTACATAACAAATTTCATTTTTTTTAAAAAAGTGACCAAAATAGGATTATATATTTTCTCTAAAAATGGATTCTGTGACAGGTGTACATGACTAATTATAAAGGGGCCCCAAGGATGCAACATATGATTTGTGAGAAACAGGAACAAATTTAATAATCAGTTTATCTACTCCTGAGATTAATTACACCCTTGCAAATCGTTCCCACACTTTAAAAAAAATTAACATAGAAACAGATTTCTGTCCCTCCATTCCTTTCAGCCACTACGCCCCGAAGCTTTGGAACTCTTTCCCCTAATCCCTCCGCCTTGCCCAATTCTTCCCCTCTTTAAGATCAAAGCTGAAGGCCTTCCTCTTCGACCGTGGTTACTGTCACCTCCTTCCGCCACTACTCGGTGTCAGGTTTCGCCACTGTTAAGTGCTCAGAGACACTGCCCCACCTGAAGGGCGCTATATAAATACAAGTTGTTGGTGGTGGTGGTGCACCACGCCCTGGATCTATTGTACACTTCAGTGCCTTGCTTGAACCCTTCATGTACAGAGCAAAATTGAACTAAGCTGACTGTTACAAATACTTAAGAGTACAGGTTATTGTTGAGGAATGATTTCACTTTGCCCACATAATGCTCATCACAGAATCAACTACTATAGCCTTCCAGAAACACCAGTAGATCACTCACAAATTATTCTGCATATTTTCTTTAAAAAAAGACATTTTAAAGTATGATACCAAAGAGCAGTTTTGAAAGTCAATTTAAAATAAGCACCCAATGCACTGCAACGGATTGAAAGGTCTATTAACAGGCAATGTACTACAGTTAGTATAAAATTTCTTCTACAAATTGCTGGAACACTCAGAGAGATAATGTCCAACTTCGGAAGCAACACAGGGACTAGCGAGCTGCCAGCATTCAGGCTCTCAACTTAAATTCTCTTCCTGCTTCTTCAGCTAAGGATTTTACTGCAGAGTTTTTCTGACCTCTGCTGCTGATATACAGAACTGCAACCAATGCAGAACACATTTTTAAGTCAAGTCCATCAAATCTTCAGAAAATGCTGTGTACACGATTCCTTTACAGGGCTGCGACAACCATCCAAGCTTACCTCAGAATTATATGAATTCTTAAAAAAAAAACTAGAGGGTAGCTGTTGAGGAAAGCAAGGCAGTCTGTAAATGACATTTGTGTTGCATCTGGAAAAGGATGCTGTTCTTAAAAGTAGCTTAAGCCACACTTCCAAGTTAATCAAAGTCGAGAATATATCTGCAACAAATTATTTAAATTATTGACATATATTAGTAATGTGACCTCAGCTCAGGAAAAGACAGTCCCAAACAAGCTTACCAATTTTCAATGTCATTGTGGCTGCACGATTGCTGGGCATTCTCCAAATGACCCTACGCAGTCTACACCCATTGCTGAAAACACATACTGCACCGTAATTCAAAACTCTGAAAAGAAGGACTGCTCGTAAGATCTTGGGTACCTTGAGCTTCAAACCTCAACAACTAATGCTCTGGAAAGCAAAAGTAAATCTTATACGCTCAGATGAAGCAAAGAAAAAGAATACCTAGCCAGGAAAATCTCAAAACAGACTGCTGAGAATTTGGTCCACTCAAATACATTTGTAATTTCAGAAAAACTACGCCACACAGCTTCGGAAAAAAGTCCATGATGTACAACGGACACCTCTCCAAAGTAACCCTTCCTTGAAATATACAAATGTGTCACCACCACCATCACCGCATCAATTACTTTTAATGATTCTGCACATATTATCGGCAAAAGGAAACTACTCAAGCACAATGTAAAATATGGACATTTGTTGATGCAATATTTGGATATTTTTTCAAATACACATAAAAAAATGTTGCATAGAATTACTCTTGATTAAAACTTGATCAAACATCCGATCAAAATTGAAAGACAAAAGGGTTGTTTTCCATCTATTAAAGCAAGAATTGTCCATTTACAATGATTTGAAATAAAGATAATCAGAGATTTTGTAAGAGAATAATAATCTTATATAACCACCTCTGGGTCAGACTCAGTATCCTGCGAGGGCATTTCAGCTGCATCTGTATTGAAATCTACAGTCAGACCTGGAGCCTCACTAGCAGCCGACTTGGTGCTTTCAGACATTCCTAAAAACAAAAAGAAATGTTGGCCATGTGCATGGTGCAATTTCAACAGCATCAACAAAGGAAAACAAACATCTAAGAACCTACATTTAAAAACCCAACATTATTAAATACAAGTTGAAAGAAAAAATAAATGATGTTTGCAGTACAGTACCGTCTGTCTAGACTGATAAAGCCGCCACCCACATTGGATAAGCACAGTTTATGTTTTCACTATAGGTTTTATTCATGCATAAATATTACAGAAGTATTATAATCTTAGTTTGTCCCTTATGATTCTTTGAGGTAAACATTTCCAGACAATAGCTCTCACTTTTTGGAGAAAGCGACAGTCTGGGAGCAAGCACTCAACTTGGCCATCGTCAATTGGCTAAAGCAGTGAAATATTTTTTTTTTAAAAAAACTTCATCCACAGATTCAAGAAAAGGAATACTTTGAAAGTACTTTGATTACACCTTGCTCTTAAGTGAGATGTCGTGCAATTTTGATGCCAAGACATTTGCACATTAGAAACACTAAATAAAGATTAAAATTAATTCAAATTATGGCTCAGCAACTACAAAAATGGATTCTTCGGGGGCTGAACTTCAAATCAGTCTCAATTTGACCTTGCATTCCAGTTTTGTAGGTCGAGTCTTCGGAGTTGAATTTAAGTAAGCTTTAAAACAGAGTTTCATAAAAAAAATTATCTTTTAGGACACAAAATATCAATGTCTAATAATAATCCTTGCGTTTGTTATAGCACCTTATCAGGTCTTTGAGAGGTCTCGAAGACGTGATATAGGAAATAATCCAAGATCTGGCCAAACTTTGTGCATTAAAATTCTTATCTGTATTAAATCGTATAATTGCCTAAATCGTAAAAGTCCCATTCAATTTCCTATTAAATTCACTTAAATTTATGTGCACTAGTCCCATTAACCACTGCGTGACTCGTAACACTGCTACCGCACTTGCCGCCCCCAAACTTGCTGGCTGCCAGGTCAAAACTTTGTTTCCCACAGATGCCTCAAAGGGAAAACCGCACATGCACATCCCAACCCTCTCCGGGGGTTGGGGAGGGCGGGTTATCCTCAGTTTCTAAATAAAGTGAACCTATCCATGATTTCTAAACAGCCAGGAAAGTAAAGGGGCCAGTGAGGCTGCTGCTACCTGTCCTGCTGATTATTATTCTCTTTTGATTATGAACACTCTGGCTGAACAAAATATCAAAATAATGTTCTGTTGCCACAAAGAAAGGTACGATTCTTTGTGTGGACCAGTTTAGATGTGATGATAGTACACTGAAATGCATCATCATTTTGGAAATAGCATACACAGTAGTTTGAATTAACTCATGTAAATCCATAGAAACCAGACCTTCCAAAATAGAGCAGAATATCTTTAGTGGCCATTTGACATACCTCACAGAAAAAACACTGCAATTTTTCTAAGAAAACCAGTGAGTGGCTGATGGTCTGCAGCAATAGAAAAGTGTGGCCCCAACTGCCTCCCCCCACCTCCTGCAAACACACACCCCGCTCTGCTGCAAACAGCACTCTGGTGTCCCCCCACCACCCCCCAGTGGCCATCCAGTTTTTGTTAAAGAATGCATTCATTATTTTCTTTTGCAACAACCTAATATGTGTTATTTCTTCATGTTTAGTTTCTATCGATAAGGTGAAAAAATGTAGGTTGGCAGTAAAATGTACCTCTCAATAACACCAATCAACTCACCGTAAAAAAAAAACGGTAAAAATCCCTCAGTTTTTGACAAATATTTCCGCAATTTTCTAGTGGCCCTGCTGATGGCCCAGTAAATGCATTCTAGTATTAACACATGCTGTTTGCAATCGCGCCACAAAAACTCAGGTGCAAAGCCATTTTTTTAAAAAAAATAGGAGACTAAACCATGTATTCTAGAATGTTCCAAGTTTCACTTACACCAAGAAACAAAACACTTTTCTGCTGATCAACAGATTATAAAAATGCACACCTGCTAAGCACTAAACAAACCTTCCAACATTAAATCACCCAACTTTGTGATAGACTCAGGGAAAAACTGCCTGACCTTCAGGCTTTTGCGCCCATAAAATATAGTCAATTCACTTTACAGTATATTCTGTGAAGCGCTTTGAGATATCTCGAAGACATTAGGCGAAATATCAAATGCAAGGATCATTATCATCATTATTATTAACAGCCTTTAAGTATTAAGAAAAATCAAACCCTTCTTAATTTTGGTGTGATGTGGGTCAATCACTGCTTACTATTGTTCTTTTACACCTGAGGATCCCTGTAACTGACATTTCCAACCGCTGTTACTGACAGTTTATTTCCTCCACACTTCTCCTGACGAGACTTCAAATTGCAACCTGACCACAGCAAAGACCAAGTTTAGTCTTCACTCGTGCTCTCCTAGGTCTTGGCTTTGCACCACTATGTTCAACCAAAGAAGAATAAAATAAAAGAAAAAAAGGCAAGAAAAAAAATTAATTCCAATCTGATATTAAACACAAATATGAAACAATCCAAAAAATAACCTCCAATTTCACACCAGAGCACAAGAAACATGAAAAAAATGACAGTAAGCAACATAACTCAGACAGAAAGGGAATCCACAAGGTGGCACTCTTTACTAGATTTAAAACTATCTGCATGAACCACGTTGAAATGGAAATGTTGACAATTGAACAATGATAATGTTGCACCACATCCTTATTATAGTTAGAAAACCGCTTTCTATTTATTCCAGCTACTTTTCTAATTGGATCACATCTTACAATTACAAAGCTAAAGGATCTAACTTAAAGTTCAAATGACCATAAATTGTATAGATTCACCTGGTGTTTTGATCTGCTCAATCTCTATGTTTAAGAAAATGGGGATGAAATTTCAAGTGAGCGCACCTGCAGATTGTATTGTCACACACGAAAATCGGTTGCAGAATGAACCCTCCCTTTGAGGGAAGTCGAGAACTGGAGCACATCATTTGCGCATCAGACTGTCAAACAACTTGAGGACATTGCTTATCCAAAAGATCAGAAAACATTACCTTCAACAAATAAAAGGAAAGTTCAAAGGCTGATACCAAATGTAATTGCACATTACTGCCAAGAACACATCATAAAATGTAATGGAGTGCCATAGCGTAGCGATTAGCGCACTCGTCTTGCAAGCGAGAGGACCCGGGTTCGATTCCCGGGCGTGGAATACATTTGGCAAGTTTCCTAACTCCTCACGCCTCTGCTTAGCTCGGAATAAGTTGGAACCAGCTTGTTAGTCGATTGGTGGATAGCTTTCTGGGGGTTATCATCCATATATAATTATTTGGTCACTCAATTCACAAGCGTTGTGCCGACTGGCTGCCATGCTTCGCTCACAAAACACTCAGTCTGTCACACTTTATTCTGTGATGCGCTTTGAGACATTTCAATGACATTATAAGGTGCTAAAACAAATGCAAGGATTATTATTATTATTAAATAGCTGCACTGTGTGACCTCACACTATTATAATTTTTTTAAAAGGAAACAATGTTTCCTTGTACATTGCATCTCCAAGAATGCAGCTGAACACAAAGCAACTTCAGAGAATTCAAACTACTGTAGTTTGGATAATTCGTCTTTTTTCGATAAAATGCTTTCTATTGAAGTTGTATTAATTTGCTTGAAATTGTTTTGGTAATGTCTGGGATGATAGATATGATGAGAATTCAAGTTTTGAGGACAAGCCGTTAAATGTTAATATTTAAGAAAGCAATTTTAATATTGATGGAATGCTGCACTCCTGCATGGCTCAATAACCGTTCGGAGAGGAGATCCTGCAGTACAGTTCCCAACACGTATGCCCATTTCCAAAAGCAAGCTACGTTTTAGCAGCAGCAACTTAAACTCACTGAATGAGAAGACAAATCATTTGCAGCAGTGTTGTAGTAACTCTACTCACCCCATAACCTGACAGCAACATTAGCCAAATAGCAATTCATTGTATTAGAAAGCCAGAGAGCAAGTACCGATACATTTTTGTAAAACGTCCTGGTGCCCTGAACAACAATCTCCAGTTTAAACAAAAAACTGGTCATTCACTTCATGGATGTTTGTGGGATATCCGTGTGTGCAAATTGGCTGCTATGTCACCTATAAATATACAGTCACTGCATTTTACAGAAAAACTCTCTTCAAGGCATTTTGACATGAGCCGCTATATGAAATGTGAGGATAATTATTATGTGTGAAAATAACTGCAGATGTCACTAATGGGAAGTATATAAAGACAGATTGCGACACATGACGGCAATTACTTACGAAGTACTCAGACATTTCAACATAAGTGGTTATCAAAATGCAAGTTCTTTCTTTGAAAATTTACAATCAAGTAAGTTGAAAAGTTACATTGAAAGGAGACCCAAATCAAATTCTGAGTAATGGAATGAAGATTTTATCTGAGCCAGTTTCCGTGGCCCACATTAATTTAGTACAGGTCAACTCAATTCCAAGCTGGCGTACGGCCATAGCAAACATTTGTCTATAATTTGCCACGACTCAGCACTAATTGGCAATTTTAAAGGACTTACGGAAGTGTTGTATAATAATGGGTATTTTATTTTGCATCTGGTTTATTGCCATGGCTGACTTGGTGCCAATGCTGCCACCATGAGCCCACAGGGCTAGATGTTCCGAACTCATGCTCTCACGTCGGTTACTTTAACTCATGCTCTGACATAAACCACTTCTAGGAAGATAAAAAAAAATCATCCTTTTAAAAAAAATGAGGAAAGTAGTTTGTGGCAATGTCCCTGAATCAATCTCAAAAACACACAGTAATATAGCTTGTTTTAACAACATGCTGACAATTTATACTTCAGTAAAAAAGCATTTTAACATTCTATTAAGTCAGCTTATAACTTACTGATAAGTACAAGTGAAATCTTGCGAAAGAAATACAATGTTGTGTTCTCCAGCGTGCAATCAGCAAGGAACAAGACAAAAAAAACTCTGAGGCGCTGGAAACAAACTTGGTGC